GGCTCCCGCGGCAGGGCAGCCCCGGTGCCCGGCGGCCCTTCCTTCCGCGGGGGCCGCTTTCTTTCTTGCCTTTTTATGGCATCGGTCTGTGGGGTGTTTTCTTCCAGGCAGGAAAAGCTGTTTATTCGGCCAAAGCGGCGGAATAAAGCCCTGCTCGTGTCACGGCATCGCGTCTCCGAAAGGAAGCGGGCTTTGATGAATTGGGAAGGGAAACAAGGCGTTCGGGGTGTTCAGAGCGGTGCCTTTTGTTAGCGCCTTTCTAAAATTAAACCGTCGGTGGAAAAATGATCTTTGTTACGGATCCAACTTTCCGCTCCTCCAGTTGAAGCTCGGTAGGCACAGGGATGATCCTGCGGATCCCCGGCAGGGGACAGAGGCAGAGGTTTAACATCCTTGATTTCTGCGTGTGCTTGTAGGAGAGAGAAAAGCAGAACCCTAGTACTTGGTGCTGACTTTTACCCTCCTTTGTCCAAGTCTTCAGTGTATATTTTTTGTATCCTTTCTTTTAAGAAACCTATTTTCCCCTGTAACTAATTTTTTGAAGGCATAGCTTTATCAGCAACCTGATTTTTTTTTCTTAGGACATGCAGGTCATCTCGTTGCTACTTATATATCGGAATCTCTCTCTCAAATACTAATCTCGTTCTCTGTTTTCACGTTTGTTAATTGCTTGACTCACTTTCAGGTATCGTGAAACCCTGTTGTTTCCTTCCTGGCTCATAGAAGAGCATGCTCTCTGAATGTAGTGTATCTTCATAACTATTGGGGTATGAAACCAAAATGTGATGCAATTTTATTTTAACAAAACAGCCAAGCTCTGTATGTTTTCCTGATTTTAAAAATCATGGAAATACAGGGATGTACCACCATCTAGTTTTACTTGAATCAACAAGTGTAAACAAGAGAGATTGCTTTGGACTTCAGATTATAACAGATTCCCTTGACTTTTTTTTGTGGGAAACCAAAAATGCCTTGAAGGAAATGCCCTCAAGACAAAAGTGCTTTTTATATTCTGGTCCAGAAATATATCCCCGTGTAGTGCTACCAGAAGTCTGTCACTGGCTCAACTGTGAAGGCCGAATTTAGAGTTTAAGTGGCCTTTTGTTGGTTCACTGTAGGGTCTGAATTTTACCCGCTGTGAACAAATTTTGTGATATTATAGTACGCTGATAATCTCTGTGGCACTATTAAATAACAAGAGCCTACAAGCTTCCTTTCATATTCCAAAAAAAACCTGTGAGGCATTCAGTGTACGAAAGCATGCATATTACGTTCCTTTTTTTTTTTTTTGATGTGAGAATGTCAGTACTGTCATTGCACCCTAGTTCACAGAGTAAACAGGCAAACACAATTTTTCCTTGGCAGCCTCACTGGAGCTCACTTGGTGACTAAGGCTGCAGGAGTGCTTCATCTGCAAGGGTAATAAAATACTTTAACACTAGTTAAAAGTGTTTCTTACTCTTACCTATGGAAGGCTTCTGTATGACCTTCAATCCTGTAGTATGCGGACATTTCACAATCTTTGGTTTATCCTTGTGAGAATGCGATGAGGTAATGAAATGGCATTGCCTCCATTTTATGTATGGAATTTGAAGCATGGAGGCAGCAAATGATTTTTCCAAGGCGGCGTAGGGACTCTGTGGCAGGCTGTTATTCTGTACCTTTGTGTCTTGCCCCTTAATACATTTTCTTTTATCTGCTGTATCTGTTTGTTTCATGTGTTTGAGTTGTGGTTATTACTGTGTGGTAATTAGTAATTTAAGTTTCGCGTATTACAGAGGGAGAAGGAAATGTTAACCTCACTGTGATTCAATATATTGTTTAGATTTCAAATGATAAGTATTACATAAAAAAAAATTCCCTATTTCCTCATCAGGTGATACGTCTGATACTTTTGATTTGTGAAGCAGGTACCAGGGGTGACATTTTTCCCCCGCCGTTTGCTGGTTCTTGTGTGTGCAGGTGTGCTCCTGGGAATATATGATGGCTCTTGTAATCAATGTATAGGTGATCCTAAACACCTGATGTTTTCTGCAGTTGTTGAGAGCAAGATTCAGCAAGAAAATAACAAGTATTTCTTTAATTGAGTAATACTCAGTTTTGGTGAATGTACAAAACAATAAGCTTTTTCTTGGGTCAAGCTGGGGGAAAGAGAGTGCCTTATGCCTTGGAGAGTGCACCATGAAACTCTCAGTCTTTGGACATGGAAGAGTGGAAAAGGAGACGCCGAACTGGTTTCAGGCTGTTTTCTCTCAAATGACTAACCTTCACTTCTGGAGGCTTGCCTGAATTATGGCCATGTACTCTGCTGCTCTGCTAATGGTAGCATGGGTCAAAGATCCTATAGCCTCTTTCTGTGCCTGGGCTTGGCATGATCAGAAACTTGGTCTGACCCACTACATTTTATCTAGGGAAAAATAAAAGAATAGGTCAAACAAGTACTGATATTCCTATGACTTACTCTCCTAGCTCCCATCTCACTGGTTCACAGCTAAGGACTTCCTCAGCAGAAGGCGGTATCTTTGTGTTTGCCTATGTATTTGATAGCCTGCGGTGGGATTTTCAACTTTAGGTAAACTTTGTGTCTGCAGCATCCTGTGATTATAACTTTCACAGCTGCTTGAAAAAGGACCTCTTTTTATTTGTTTTTGAACCTGCTACTTCATGGTTTCATTTGATTCCCCACCCCCAACCCCCAGTTCCTGTTTTGGGAGACGATGAAGAATTGTTTCCTGTTCACCCTTGACGTGCAGTCATGCCTTGACAGACCTGTGTTATCCCCTGCCGCTGTCTTTTTGTCAAGCTGAAGTCTTAGGTCTATTTAGTCATTCCTATATAAAAGCCATTTCATATGGTTCTCAAGCGTGGTTTTGTAAAATGGTTCTTTCTTCTGCATGGCTTGGGCTGTGGAAAATCTCCTTCACGTGGAGCTGAGTCTTTCAGGCAGACCTCCACTGGGTTTTGGTCCTGCTGTCTCCAATCCTTATAGTTATATGCTGGCTAATGTGAGGAGTATCAAATAGGATTATTAATTTAGATCAATTCAAGTTCATGCAAGTTCAAGGGGTTTTTTTATTGCTAGAAACATCCTCTGTTTTTTCCTCTCAGATCTCACAGATGCTCCTCTGTGGATAGGTTACTCCCTCCCTCAGTTAATGGGCATTGCATAACTCTTTGACTTCCTTAAATATTTTTATTTTATTCTAAGTGGGTTTTTTTTAGGTTTCATCTGTTTTTGGATCTTGGGACAGCCGCTGGATCTGTGATATGATCTGTCAACATTGCTAAGTCTTGTTTTGTACCAGAAGGTAGATTATAAAAAGACCACAAAAGAATAACTGAAAGCAGCCAGGGACTGACAACCACGATACATGTTTGAACACAATAGGTACATGTTTGAATGACAAGGTATTCCTATAGCCAAGGTGCTCATCTGAGACATGGATAGAGATCTCCATCTGCTACCAATTCCCTGTTGGGACCTTGCACAAAGTTAGGCTTTCTCTACACTTTGAAATTTAGGAGCAAATCCCAGCACTTGACTCTAGCTGTATCCGAAGTCTGGCAAGATGAGACCTGTGCTCACTTCATCTTCTCTTGAACCCTGACTTGAAGGATTCTCAAGCATATGGGACAGAAGGACACCAAAGTATCCTCCAAAAGATTGTCTAGTCCAGACTATTGGGTAAGCAGGGTTGAGGTGAGCAGTGTCCTCCAGTGGGAAATAACAGGACAGAGCTGTGCGAAAGTACGGGTTTGGGACCTGAAGGTCCTCCTGACAGGGTTTATTAGTCTGATTTAGCACGAGTGTTGGTGGTTTGCTCCTAGACGTGATCTGACTGAGCAGAACCAGCTTTGGTGTTTTTGCACCCAGAACATAGCCAGCATAGCAGCCCTCAGTAGAGGGTTCTTTAGAGAAAACTGCTTGCAGGTTTTTTTGTATAGGCTGTAAAGTGCATTTTTGAGTATATGCTTTTATATTTGTGTATGTCTTTAACTGCTAATTGTGCAAGGGCAACCCGCGTAATCTTTCCACAGACAGTGAGGGTTAATGGTGCAAAGAAGGAATGTTGAGGCACTTGGGTATTGTGATGATGAGGGCAACGTGAGTGCCTTAGATAAATGTGCATTTGTACTACCTGGTTAAAAGCTTCTTTTCAAAAAACCCCCAGCATTACTGTCATAACAAAAGCAGATATGTATACCCCTTGCTCCATTTATATACTCAACATTGGATCTGTAATTTAGGGAAAAAAAATTAAATTGGTCCTTTGCAGGTTGATTTCATATTCTTTTAATTGTTCTAGATGGTCCTAGTATGAACAACTTGCTCAGACAATACATCTTTTTTGCTTTTCATATGAGGCCTTAAGTCATTACTGTTCTTTTTGATTAAGAGAAATCCAAGCTTTAAACAAATTGTTTTCATGCATATGAATTCCATGTAGGTAGGTACTTTAATTTTTTGTAAGTGTAATAGAAGAAATGGCATACAAGCAGCTTTTTGCTGATAAAGGACTGAGATGTGTTTAGTGACCGCAGAGCAATATGTGTCAGAGGGCTGGCTGAGCACCTTTGCAAGTCTAAGTTCTTTCCCACTTAAGCCTTGCAAGTGTTACTGTAAGAGTTGATTTGCGATGGCTTTTCAGACAGGTGTTGCTAAAATAAATTAAAAACTTCAGAGACGTAAAGTAAATAAAATTACATAAAGCTGCAAGGGAAATACATCTCTGCGTAGAAGGACATTAAAAAACTTCACAGCACATGTAGACCCTGCACCAACTTTGGGGAATCATGAGTGCGGTACCGGGAAAAATGAAGACCCTGGGAGTATCAGCAGCAGTTAGTGACAGTTAAACCTTTTCTCTGGTGAAGAATGGTGGAGGCAGTTAGGTTAAACATATCTAATTAGATCTAATTTGTGACTAATTTTTTAACCTAAGGCAAGTTTATTTAAGCTCTGCTTACAGTCATCTACAGATATATGTACGTGTTTGCAGGCTTAAGGTGATTGTTTAGGACAGAGGAATGAGATGATGTGTTGAATGGGTATGTGCTGTTAAATTCAGATTGCTTTAAGAGACATCATCTTTCACTCCTCAGCTTATTTTCTGTCCTCATTCCTCCTGTTCAAATTCAAGAATTCTTACGGCTGTGTTGCACATAAGGCAATAGGCTGTCACATCTGTCTTGCTGCCTGAGTCTACAGGTAAAGTAATTCCATTCTGATACCTCATGTGCAATAAATTTCAGCTGCGAGCTGCTGTGGTTGCCCATTAAACTGTGTATTTGATTTCTGATACTGTATCTTTTTCCATGTGATCTGTTGTTGATTAAATATGAGTCTTCCCCTCAACTGCAGCAGTACTTACTTGTTAATTTAAAATGGTA